TGCCCCCGGGCGGTTGCCTCAGCGGCCATGCCCCAAGAAGCCCGACGGCAAGATGTCGCGGCGCCACGCGGAGGTTCGCGCCCGTCGTCGCGCACGCCTCGGCGCAGATTCGCGGGGCGCCCGCGGCGCCGCGAACCCTCCGGAGGAGGCGCCTCCTCAGGCTGATGAGCAGGCGCCCTTCCATATCAATGCCAGTTCATGGGCCAGAGTGGCCGGCGCTGTGGCGACGCCGCCCTCTGCGGAGTAATGGCGCTCGTCTCTTTGTTGGGCTTTTGCAGCTGGCGCGGTCGCCAGCGCTACTCGCGACGGGTGACGACCATGGAGGACGCCGCCCTGGAGGTCGAGGGCGGCGAGGCCGAGCGCGAGGTGGCAAACCGCGGCCGCGCCCGCGTGTGTGAGCTCCACTGGAGGAAGCTCCAGCCGTCGCCAGGGCGATCACACATGCGCAGCCCAGCTATGGAGTTCCGCTTGCGCTTTCATCGCTCGCGATTCGCTATGCGGCCTTGCGCCGCCATTGCACCGATAATCTGCGCCGCAACAGCCCCTGCTCATCGCGTCCATCTTCAGCATGATTGACCAGGCGGAGGCCCAGCCGAGGGCCGATACTTCTGGTCCTAAGTCCTAAGGCCACCGCCGCGGAGATCGACGAGTGGTTCGACCTGGCCATGATCATTTGGGGCCCGCCTGGCGGCAGAGGAGCTAGAGCCGCTGCTCGAGTCCACGGAGAGGTGCGTCGCCAGGTCGCGGGGACTTGCTTCATCCTCGGCCAGCGCCGCCCACGTTAAGTGGGCCCGCGAGTGCAGGCGCGCGAAGCCCTCGCTGGTACATCGGCATGTTCGAGACCCACCTCCTGTTCTGCTGTAGGTGCCCTGGCTGTCACTGGCGACCCCGGCGCCCTCGCGGAGCATGGGCTGGGCAGTTGACGAGAGTGGTGGACTGACCCGCGCGCAACTCGGTCGGATCACTGCGGCGGACTGGCCACGCTGCGCGCCCGCGCTCGGGCCGACCCGATCGAGGCCCTGGACGACGACGGCGCCATCCGCGTGGCATCCAGGATGTCGCCCAGCAAGGACCGAGGCGTTGGCGCCACCAGCCCTGTGGACATTCAGAGGCTGCCACCCGGGGGCCAGCGGCAGCGCGGAGAGGTGCTTCGCGCCGCGGAACAGAAGGGGCCCTGGCCTCTGCGGGCCCCCCGGCGATTGGCGCGACCACCCCTGCGCCGTCAGGATCGCCATAGGGCGCCGTGGTCGAGAGCTCGGGGCCCCATCGCGGATCAGTGGCCCCTGGACCTCGGCGAGTCTCGGGGCGCGGCCACGCGAGGGCCGTCAGGCTCGAGAGCTATTTGTCAGAGGGCGACGTAAAACGACTCTGCTCATCACCTCGGCATCGAGAAATCTCGCGAGCGCGTTAACACTTGGCTGCCCATGCGCAGTTCTGTCCAGCAGGGTTTACACTCCATCGTTGCTTTCCTCGAGGTTCAGATGCTTCTCCCTCCCAGGATCTAGCGGCCCAGGAATTTTACTTTAATTTCGGCTTTCCCCGCGATCCATCGTGGCTGGCTCGGCGCGCGGTGTCAGACATGCCAAGGTTTTCCTGGGCCCGATCTGTCGGCGGCCCATGCTGCCGCGGGCGTTCGGGCCCTCGTCTCCTCCGCGGGGCCCTGGGCTCTCGTGGGTGAAACCGTGGCGCGAGCGGAAGGTGCTGCGGAGGGCGCTTTCGCCCTGCTTTCCCAGGTAGGCCAGTCGTTCGCTTGATCGTCCGCCCTGCATCACCTGCGCGCGTCGGCCAAGACCAAAGTCATTGCGTCGTGCCCTCGCCGTGGCGAGCGAGTTGTTGCCGGCCTCCGCGGTGTGGGGATCTCTGCGCCCTTGGCGGCCCAGGTCGTGGATCTTGGGCGCGGCGCGGAGGGGGGGCGGGGACTTGCTGGGCGGCGCGGTCACGGGCGCAGCGCATTAGGCGCATGCGTCGGCGTGCTCGCGCGGCCAAGGTGTCTCAGGGTTTGGTTTCAGGGTGCTCTTCCCCGTCAATCCAGTTTTTGCGACGTCGGGCTGCTCAGTCAGTTGCCAGTGGAGCTCCAGGTCGTTGCCTCACCGCGGTGCCTGTTCCTTTTTATGTGGACCGCGAGCCTGTCATCGCCCTTTGGGCTCACGTCCTTCTCGCGTGGTTTGACGCGTGGAATCGCTCGCCTGAGACGCGCGATCGGGCCGCGTGGGCGTGGCTTCGCATCCGAGGCTGGCTCGACTTTGTGCCAGTCTGCGTTGGCGTCGGGTCCGAGGTCCGATCGGCGCCGTCGTCGCCGCGCTGCCGGGCGCGGGCTGGAAACCTCTGCCCCCGCCCATTCCTCGATACATAGACGCCTCCGGCGCCGGGAGGCGCCTGGAAATTCAGCTACGTGAGCTGATTCTCAACCCCCCCCTTTGCTATCTCCCCTGTTCGCCCGACCCGACCCCTCCCTCCCTCAGGCATGCCCCTGCCACAGTGGCCCGAGGCGTTTAGTCATTGCTTCGCCGCTGGCAGAGGCAGCTCCCCTCTTTCTCCTCCTGCCCGTTTTCGTCGTCGTCCGCGTCGTCGTCGCCCTCGTCCTTCACGGCCACATCGAAAGAAACGGGACTATGAAGACCCGAAGTACTTTTCTTCAGGAGCTAAACGTCTTCACGTCGTCGGCAAGGGCAGTATGTCTTCGGGCCATCGGCCGGGGCAACACGTCTTCATGTTTCATTCGTCATGTTTTCACTTCTTCAGGTCGTCGGTCAGGCTGTCGCGCATTCGTGTCGTCCGCCGGGAGTGAGTCTTGACTCGTTCAGGTCGTCGGACAAACCGCCTGATTTTCAGATCGTCTTCTCGGCTGGCCTTCATATTCCAAGCCTTCACGAGTGCATGTTTTCATGTCTTCACGTCGTCGGGCGATTTCGGACTCCGTGGCCAACGTCTTGCGGTTTGGGGCCGATGTGGGGCCCGCGAGGGCTTTCACTGGGCCCCTGCACCTTCAGAATATATCTCGGGATGGAACAACGGTTTGGGGAAATGGGTCGAGACGTCTTTGTGTTATATATATATATATATATATATATATATATATATATATATATATATATATTATGTATGCGTTGTGCTTGCACATTAATGATCTCTTGCTGCGTTCAGTGCCGTATGTTGTACTTGTGCTCAAGTTTTTTCCAGGAGAGGTTTTCCCTGATGGGGGCGCAGTCCGCCCTCATCGAGACCTTCCAGTCTGCAGGGATCCGTGCTCTCGAGCTGCTGGCGCTGCGCCAGTCCCTGATCTCGGCGGTGCCCCAGTGCCCCGCGGTCTCGCTGGCGTGCCCGCCCGCGAACGTCTCTTGCCCCGTCCAGGTCTGCCCAGCGCTGGCCTGCCCGACCCCAGCGTGTCCCGTGCCGCTGGTGGATCTCTCCTGCCCGCTTGCAGGAGCGGAGCTCGTCCCTGACGGGCTCGACATCCCCTCGGCCTGCTGGGGATACCTGGCAGGAGCCTCTGCGGGGCTCGGGCTGGGCGGCGCACTCTGGCGGCGGGGCGGCCGCGTCGACGCCGAGGCGACAGGGGTCGGAGATCGAGCGCGAGAGCAGCTGCAGCTGATCAGGAGGCGCAATGGCGAGAGTAGGTGACTACGTGCTCTTCCAGTATGACCTGCCTGGAGCGCCGGTGTATCATGAGAGGCTCGTGACAGGGGTCTCGATCGGGGATCCAGGTCTTGTCAGCACGTTCTCGCCAGACGGGGACCACTACGCCGAGTACACGACGTCCGACGACCTCAGAGATGTGCGGTGGTCGGGAGCGCAGGGCGCCACCCCCCCTGGGGTCAACCCCGCCCACGTCTACCGCTTCCGACAGGTGCCAACGGCGGCCGAGGTCCAGCAGCTGATCCGCGAGGGCTCGCTCCTGATCGGGGGGGTGGCGCCGCCTGCTGCCGCTGTTCCTGCCGCCGCAGCGGCGCCCGTGGCGGCTCACCCCGCGGCGGCCGGACCGCAGGGGGCCATCGTGCCTCGAGGCGCTGGCGTGGTGGGAGGGGCCCCCCGCGCCGGGGCCGCGGCCGCCCCCGCAGTGGCTGGCACAGTTTGGCTGGCTATTGAGGACTTCCAGGGGATGCGGCGCGGCGAGCAGATGCCTGATCCTCTCCCTCAGGGTACCGTCGTACACGGGGAGATGGCGCTGGTGCCTCATGGAGGGGGCTTCGTCGGAGCGCGCCAGGTGGCCCTAGCCGACGTGGATGCCTTCGTTGTGGACGACCCGCGCGTGCTGCCTGTGCGTTTCAACCAGCAGGGGGCGCGCCGTCGCCTTTACAGCGAGGCCGTGGACATGCAGATCGTGGATGAGCCTGAGGGAGGCATCATGCTGCAGGGCCCTCGCACTACGGATTGGGTGCTGAGGTCGTATCGGGACGCCGGGCTCACGCCAGTCACTCACCACTCGAACTGGCTGAGGTCGGCTCGCATCCCTGATGGAGATCGTTCAGTTCACGAACACGAGGTGCTGTGCCATGTGCTGGAGGCAATCGTGACCGTGGACCAGCTCAACGCCCCTGCGCTCCAGAGCGCCGAGCTCGTCGTGCGCAGGATCCAGGTCATCGAGGATGCTCACTCCGCCTCGCCCTCGAACCCAGACTACTCCGCGGCCGATGAGTTCATGGGCTGGGCCACGCATCGCCAGGGCGCCGCCGTCGCGCCCGACCTGCAGCGCCACGTGGCCGCGGGCATGCGCGACAGGGCAGCGATTTTCAAAGAGGCTCGCAAGGCGAAGGAGGAGCAGAAGCTGCGCCGCGGCAAGGGGGGCAACAGGACCGACGCCAGCGGCACTGGCGGGCAGGGATCATGACGGCTCCCAGTCGCGGGGGCTGGCCGGCCCGCGACGTGCACAAGGCCTGTGGTAGTGACAGTGGACGCCCTCCTGGGCTGAGTGCAGCGGACGATCGCCAGCGTGATCTGTTCCCGCTGCCCTCCATTCAGCCGACTCCGCCTACTTCTGCGCCAGCGTCTACGTCGACGAGGCGAAGGCTGGCACATAGGCGGCAGACGGAGCAGTGTGCCAATGATGCCATTGCGGGTCTCAACGCTCTCCATCCTCCGTGCGTGCAGCGTGGGCCCATCACGGCGGCTCAGCGGCTTGCTACCGCCACCATTTTGAACGAGGTCAGAATGGCCCCGAAGTCTGACACTCACTTTTCTCGCCGTGGAGCCGCGAAGGAGCTCCTGGCCTCCAGCCTGTCCTACACCGCGGACGAGGCACCGAGTCCCGTGGTAAGGTACGTCAGATCCCGAGTCGACATCCCAGAAGTGGGTGCGGTCATACCTCCTGGTGAGTCGGTGCTCGACGGGATCGGGAGGAGCTACGTGCTGGACTACGAGCAAGCCATGATGAAGACTCCTGACGAGTGGTCCCGCGTCTTGGATAGCGAGCCGCCCGTCACCCCCTACATGGATGAAGTTTTGAAGCGTGACCCAGTGGCATACCGCACTTTCATCGGCGACCTGGTGAAGGCTAACATGCTGGGTTTCACGTACCGCCCGAAGGATTTAGTCACTCCCTTTTTCGTGGCCAAGAAGAGTGGAGCGCAGCGTCTAGTGTGGGACGCTAGAGTGCCAAATCGACGTTTTCGCGACCCGCCGCCGCTGGCCATGGGGACATCGGCGGCGCACGGTCGCCTACAGCTTCCTGATGATCGTAAGGAGGACGGCAGCTTCAACACCAAGGTTTTCTGCGCCCAAGCTGACGTGCGCAACTACTTCTACGCTCTCGGCCTGAGGGAGGAGCTGGGACTGTTCTTCTCGCTGCCTCCGGTGTCGCAGGCTTCGTTGTCGCAATGGGGGGTTGAGGCAGTGGGCACTCCCGAGGGCCCCTCGGGGGGCTGGGTGTGGCCGTTCCTGCGGGTCGTTCCGATGGGCTGGTCTTGGGCTTTCTGGCTTGGGCAGCGTGCGAATGCGCACGTCTGCTGCTCTGCCTCGGGGCTCGGGTTCCCGCGGGTGCTGACCGATCACGGTCCGGTGCCCCCGCTCGACGGGGGGGTCCCTTGCCTCCTCCCCTATTGCGATAACATCAACGTCATCGGCACCGACCCTGTCAGATGCAATGTTTTGATGCACCAGATCTGCGACGCCTGGAGGAAGCATGGCGTGCAGATTCACGAGGTGGTCGAGGCCACTGACGTCTTCACCAGCCTCGGCCGTCTGATCGACGGCGCGTCTGGGCGAGTTTTCTCACGGCCCGAGCGCTCCGAGCGCCTCCGCCAAGCTTCACTGTGGCTAGAGCAGCGCCCTAGAGTCACGGGGAGGGAGGTGGAGAGGTACGTGGGTCATCTCATTGATCATCTGATGCTGAAGAGGGAGCTGCTCTCGATCCTCAGGAGTTTGTATGATTTCGTCAGAGAGTGCTATCACGTGCGAGCCCGTCTCTGGCCCTCGGCTGCCCGCGAAGTCGAGCAGTGCCGTCGCCTGCTGCCGCTGATGTCTGCCAACCTTCGGCTTCAGTGGTCGCCGACGGTCTTCGCTTACGACGCGTGCTTGACGGGTATGGCCACGTGTCAGACAACACTGTCATCAGATCTTGTCAAGCGCATCGGGTCAGTCAGTGAGAGATGGAGATATCGCATGCCTTCGGCTATCTCGGCACGCCGTTCTGCTTTGGGAGTCCGTTCTGGAGGCCATGAGGCCTCGGAGGGGCCGTTCGACGTCTTCAGCGACATCGAGACCGTCAAGGCCCCCAAGAGCACCAGCATGGACCTCATCAAGGACCCCTGGGAGCTCAACCCGCAGTTCACAGAGGTGCCCGTACAGGCTCTGCAGGGCCCCCAGTGGAAGCAGGTGGTCTCGGCCAGGGTTCACGTCAAGGAGCCCATCGCTATTATCGAGGGGAGGGCTTCGAACATGACATCTCGTCATATCACGAGGGCCCAGGCCTCCTTTGGTCTCCGACATCTACGTTCGGGGGACAACCTCGGCACAGTGCTCGCGCTCGGACGTGGGCGATGCTCCTCCTATCCCCTTCTGCTGTGCTGCCGCAGAGAAGCTGCCTACTCCGTCGCCACTGCGTCGCGGTTCGAGCATCGGTGGATACCTTCGGAGCTCAACCCCTCCGACGAGGGGTCGAGGCGCTGGGATGCCAAGTCGGGAGGTGTCCCGCCTGCCCCGCGCGGTGTCCGTCAAGCGCCCAGCTGCCAGCCCCAAGATCGTGCAGAAGAGCTTTTTGAAGGGCAGGCCGTTTGTTGGGGCGACGAAGGAGGAGAGGATTGCTCACCGTCTGCGGGCCTCTGGGCCGTTCGCGATGGTGGGGGAGGACGAGAGGAGCTTCCTGGAGTGGAACGCGGTGGCGCCCGAGACTCAGGCATACTACAAGGACGCCCTTGACGACTTCCAGGCGTTCGTGGACCTTTTCGAGCTGCCGCTGCACACCGCGGCTCAGGTCGACCTGGCGCTGACGAACTACGCCGACTACGCCTGGAGCATCGGGCTCGAGAGAGCCGCCGTCCTGAAAACATATGCCGCGTACATCTCGGCGCACCCCGACTTTTCCCGAAAGGGGTCGCTCCGCCTGCCGCGTTTCTGTCGGGCCCTCCAGGGTTGGAGGCGCCTGGACCCAGGCCAGACGCGCCCGCCCACGCCCTGGCAAGTGGTCGCGCTGGTCGCGCTGGCGATGGCCACGCAGCTGGGGTCCCCGCGCGCGGCGCTCATGGTGGTGACGATGTTCTGGGTGTACCTCAGGCCCTCCGAGGCCGTCGGCCTTCGCGAGCAGGACCTCTTCCTCCCCTCGGGCTCGTGCATGGACTACGGCTTCAACCTGCGCCCCAGCGCGAGGGGCGAGTACAGCAAGACCAGCTTGTCGGACGAGAGCCTGCTCCTCGATTCGGTCGAGGTGCCCTGGCTGGGCCCGCTGCTGGCGCGCGCGAGGTCGGGGGACCCGCAGGCGCCGCTGTTCCGTCTCACCGCCGCGCAGCTGGGCGTCATGTGGCGTCAGGCGCTGGAGCTGGCCGAGGTGCCCACCAAGTACGTGCCCTACCAGCTCCGCCACGGTGGCCCGTCGCACGATCGCCTCAAGAGGTATCGTTCCATGGGCGAGATCAAGAGGCGCGGGCGGTGGGCCAGCGACTATACGATGAAACGCTACGAGGCCCACGCGCTGGCGCAGCAGGAGCTGGCGGCACTCCCAGTCGACGTCCGCCGCAGGGCCGAGGCGGCGCCCGCGAAGCTGCACGCCGAGCTCGAGAGGCTCCTGGCGCGGCCCCAGAGGCCGCGGACGGCCACGCCGTCGGCGCGGCTGCAGGCGGCACCTGTGCCCAGCATGCGCCGCCCCGCACCTTCTGCCAAAGTGCCGCGGCCCGCGCCCGTGCCAGGCCGTTCGTCGAGCTCATGTGCGGCTCCGCCGCCTTGGCCAAGGCCGTCCACGCCGCCGGCTGGGCTTCGGAAGGCTGGGACTATGCTGACGACCCGCGAGCCGACCTTCTTGATGAGTCCCTCGTCGACAGTCTGGTTTTGAGGATCTCACGGAAGGAAGTCGCTGGGGTGCATGTCGGCCTGGACTGCAAAACGTGGAGCCGGGCAAGGAAGAATGATGGACAGGGTCCGCCGCCGCTCAGGGACGATGCGAATTTGCACGGCCTCCCTCTGCTGGCGGCGGCAGACGCTGAGAAGGTGAGAATCGCCAATCGTCTGCTCGCTAATGTTCTGCGCCTGCTGGCGGCGGCCGTCGAGGCGGGAGTCCCCTTCTCTCTCGAGAACCCTCGCACGTCTCGCCTCTGGCTGGTCCCAAAGCTGCTGGACATGGCCCGCGACGCTCACGCCGAGTGGGCTTCTGTTGATTATTGCCAGTATCAGGTCCCTTGGAAAAAGGCGACTACCTTTTTGCTTTTCAATTGGCTGCCAGCGCAGCCTTCCCTCCGCCTGTGTTCAGGCTGTCAAAAAAGGTGTAGTGCAACAGGTAAGGCACACATAACGCTGAAGGGTAAAGACCCGCTCGGTGTGTTCTGGACTTCAAGGGCGTGCCCTTGCCCCGCGGCGCTCTGCAAAGATCTAGCAGCGCTGGTGGTGGCCAAAGCCAAGACACTGGATGGCAGTGGGTAGGGGCTCAGAGTCTTGAATACCGCTCGCTCAGTCCGCTCAGGTCAGCGCCATCGCGCTGCCCTGTCACCGCCTGCCGCTCGTTCTCTTGATTTGCTTCGAAGCAGCGGAGCATGCCGAAGGAAAAGTTGATCTTGGCACGGGTAGCAGCCTAAGCTCATGCGTTGTGCTTGCACATTAATGATCTCTTGCTGCGTTCAGTGCCGTATGTTGTACTTGTGCTCAAGTTTTTTCCAGGACCCGCCTGCCGTCCCCATCTTCCACCTGCCTGGGCGTCACTTCGCCCCACAGGGGGCTCAGAGTCTTGAATGCCGCTCGCTCAGTCCGTTCAGGTCAGCGCCATCGTGCTGCCCTGTCACCGCCTGCCGCTCGTTCTCTTGATTTGCTTCGAAGCAGCGGAGCATGCCGAAGGAAAAGTTGATCTTGGCACGGGTAGCAGCCTAAGCTCATATATATATATATATATGTATATATAGTGATCGAGCCCATGACGTCAGGGGCTTGGGTTCTTCCCCTCCCTTGCTGTCCTGTCGGCCAGAGTGGCCGCCCCGTGTCTCCTCCTCTCTGCCTGTCGCCCTCTTCGTCCTCTTTTCTCCTTGTCGTCCTCCTGTGCCCACCGTGCGCCCTCCTCCGTATTGGCCACTCAATGGGGGGGCGGAGGACGAGGAGGAGGAGAAAGGAGGAGGAAGGCGACGAAAATATGCGCAGTGGCGATCCGCCATTGCATGTTGCCCCTGCCCGGCCTTGGATGTTGGCCCAAACGACGCCGAAGTAGAGTTGTTGCGAGTTCGGAGGAGGAGGAGGAGGAGGAGGAGGAGGAGGAGGAGGAGGAGAGAGGAGGAGGGAGGAGGAGGAGGAGGAGGAGGAGGAGGAGGAGGAGGAGGAGGAGGAGGAGGAGGAGGAGGCGGAGGAGGAGCAGACCCCCCCCCCCCCTTTTCCTCCTCCTTCTCTGTGGGCCTCCTTCGGCCCATCCATCCAGCGCGCTTCTCGTGATCGTCCCCAGCGGGGCTGATGCTAACATGTTCTGCCCCGCGGCTCAATCCCAGCTCCTCGGCCTGTGGGAGCTTGAGCTGCAGCGGTGAATCTCTCCGCTCCGCCACTGTACGCTGAATATACCACCGCTCCGCATCTGGTCCCATCCTTGACGAGCAACGCAGGCTATTTTGGCCCGAGGATCCCTTACGGCGCGAAACGCGTATCCTCGTTTTCATTTCGTTTGAGGCTGGGTCCAAATCAAGAAACATACAGCGCCCTTCTCCTCATCACTCCAGGCCCTCCCTCTCCTGTCGCGCTGCTCCTCTCCGCCCTTGGAGACCTGCGGCGGTGTAACCGAGAACCCCCAGTAGCGCGCACACACACACAGACGGACGGACGGACAGACAGACAGACAGACAGACAGACAGACACACTTTTTGGCACCGCGGCCTCGCGCACTGCAACGAGGCGTGGGAAGTCAAGGGGCCAGAACAGGGCGGCGGGCGCGCGCGGCCGGGCCCTCAGAGCAGGGGTCAGGGATCCGCCCCAAAGGGATCAACCACACAGACACACACACACACACATGCACGCATACACGCACACACACACACACACACGCACACACACGCACACACACGCACACACACATGCACGCATACACGCACACACACACATATACACACGCACACACACACACGCGCGCATTTTTTGCGGTAGCGGCCTCGCGCGCAGCGACAAGGCGGAGTAGGTCAAAGCACAGGGCACGCCAGGCCGGGCCTGCAGGCATCGCTCAGGAAACGGAACCTACCGACATCCGCCATCCGGGCGTGGACGGCAGGGTGGTGACACGCCAGACCCGTGGGCGGTGCCCGGTCGGCGGCGTGAGAGATGCAGGTGCTGCATCAGCACATTTGGTCGTGGATGGCGTGGGGGAGGAGCAGGAGGAGCAGGAGAAGGAGGAGGAGGAGGAGGCACGCGAATCGAGGGACCTGCCTGGTCGGCGGCGTGGAGTGGAAAGATGACAAGCGACTAGACAAAGGCTGAGGAAAGAGCTGTGCCACGCCAGAGGGCGCAACACATACACATGCAGACAAAGGACATATCTGGGTCTTCTTCCTCCTCCTGCTCACCCTTCATGCTCCTTCTCCTCCTCCACGTTCTCCTCATCCTCCATCCTCCCTCTTGCTGCTGTCACCTGCCGTGAGTCGCTCACTGTCCGAGCACGCAATCTGCGAATGCGCGCATCGCATCAACAATGTGCTGCTGCTGCTCCTTCTCCGCCTCCCTTCCCCTCATCTCCCCCCTCGCCTCGAGAGGATGGCGATGCGATTCGATCCGTAAGGTGCATGGGGCTCCTCGGAGGGGACCCCCTTGCGACACAGAGAGATGTAGTGGACTAGATGCCATTAGACTGCGGTCAGACGGTCTTCCATTGTGGCACCGAATGCGAATGCATGTAAGGATGGACGGAAATGGGCAGTGCCCTGGAGGCAACACCGTGTCCTGGCTGCGTCCCCGAGTCGTCACGCCGCGTGTGTAATTGGGTTCACCGCCTGGGTCTGTTGGCAGGGCGTGTGTTTACAGCTCCGTTGTGCCCTTGAGTGTCTCATCTTATTGCTTCTTTGTTTGCATGTCGTGCTCAGGGCGTCTTCGCATAATCCTAGGCTGGGTTTACAGGGAGGACAAAATATACATTCGCTCGGGCCGCGCCCAGGATCGAGATGTTGAAGGCCACCATCGAGAAGAACACCCAGGATGGAATGCACAATGATGGAGGAGGGGGGAGGAGGAGGAGGAGGAGGAGAGGGGAGCAGGAGGAGGAAGCAGGAGGAGGAGGAGGGAAAGGAGGGTTCATAATATCATCGCCCATGATGCATGCGGCAAGCAGCCAAGCGGGCCAGGATGGAATGCACAATGATGGAGGAGGAGGAGAAGGAGGAGGAGGAGGAGGAGGAGGAGGAGGAGGAGAGGGGAGCAGGAGGAGGAAGCAGGAGGAGGAGGGAAAAGGAGGGTTCATAATATAATCACACATGATGCCTACGGCAAGCAGCAAAGGCAAGTCCGACCCCTCGAAGCTTCAAAGTGCCTGCGCTGCTGTCTCTTGCCTTCCGCTCCGTAGGCGCCTCGTGGGCGTTTTCTCGCTCCTCCTCCTCCTCCTCCTCCTCCTCCACTCCCCTCTCCTCCTCCTCCCTCTCCCCTCCTCCTCCTCCTCCTCCTCCCTCCTCCTTCCTCCTCCTCTTCCCCCCCTCTCCCTCCCCCCCCCTCCCCCTCTCCGTAGCCATTTTGGCTCAAGACTGATGATTTGGCGGGCGGAGCCCGCATTGGCAAGACTGGATACCGCTAGACCGCGGCAGCTATCAATCTGTTTACAATCCGACAGCTCGTCCGCCCCAGCTGATCGGCTGCCTCCTGCGGCCCCGCAGGTGAGCAGGCTTTCTCACAAGACGACGACGCAATGGGGCCTCGGGAGCAGACCGCGTGTAAGTGGTATTGCAAGAGTTGCAAAAATGATCGCACGGGCAAGCAGTGGTGGAACATGGCGCACGCGAAGAAGTGTGTGCTGTGCGGGCTGGCGAAAGGAGTCACGTTCGGCGGGAATGTACAGCCGTCGGAGCCTTCAATCCGCGCCAAGCCCCCTGAGGCCCCATGGAAGACTCAGGCTCAGCAGGCTGACGCCGCTGGGCAAAGCAAGATTCGGGAGCTTGAAGCGAAGATCCGTGCGCTTTAGGCGGAGGTCAAAAGGAGCGCTCCCCCTCTTGGGGACGCCATGCTTGTCGACGACGGCAAGGACGACGAGGCGGACATGCGCAAGCGGCTCAAGGAGATTGAGGAGCAGCTGGCGTTTGTGTCCAAGTACAGTTCCGATTCGAAGGCGAGTGCGTACGTGGGAACGTTGCGCGAGGAGAAGGAGCGGCTTCACGCCAAGTTGCAGGAGTCGCGTCCGATGTATGCCAAGCTTCAGACGATGTCGAATCGGCTCAAGTCGGCGGAGAAACGGGCTGATGCCTCTCGTGAGCTGGTTGCAGCAAGACAGCAGCAGCTTAAGGAGGTCCAGGAGAGCCTGGAGCAGGCCCAGCAGGACCTTGAGGAGCAGGAGAAGGAAGTGGTCGCTCTCAGTGCGCAGGTGCAGGAGCTCACGAAACGGGCCCCGCTTGCTCCTGAGGAGGCCGCCATGCAGGAGAAGGGCAAGGGCACGCGCGTCGACGTGGACGCCTTGGGCAAGATGCTCGAGGCGCTGGGGCTCGCAGCCGAGCAGGCAGGTGGCCTGGCGCAGGCCCTGTCTGCCAGCATGGGTCAGATCTTGGTGGAGGCAGTCTCCCTGGAGGCTGCGGAGCGGGCCGACGGTGTTGCCGAGCGCCCACCCGCCCAAGCGACTGCTGCAGGCGCCGGCTCGGGCGCAGCTGCAGACGGGGACGGAGTCGCAAGTGGGCTCAGTGCGGAGGCCCGTCGGCCCGCTGAGCCACCCAAGCCGCTGGCCGACATCATCGCTGATGCCAAGGAGGCGGAGCTCAGGGCGTCTCTCGAGGCGTTTTATCCCTCGGACCTCGCGGAGCATATCCCCAAGGACTTGGAGGGCCTTGGGGCTGTTGCTGGTCGTTTGGTTCAGATGCCTCTCTTCAATCAAGGTCGACAGCGACTCGCAGTCGCGCATGCGCCATATTGAGATGCCGCGGGATGGGATTCCATTTTATCATCTGCAGCCTGATGGAGCTGCGCAGCGCCCTGCACTTTATAGGCCCACTGGTGTCGATGATAGTTCTGCATTGTTGTTGCAGGACTGTGATTGCTTCGACGACGTAGGGTTCGACCAGGACGAGTTCTTCGGCATTCAGTCGAGCTACGGCGCGGGTTCGGCATCTGCTACCGCGAGGGCGTTGGCTTCGTCTGGTGTTGCTGTGGGCGATACTGGCAATGGTGTCTCCACTATAGCAAGCTTGAGGACATGGGCTGCATCGCGGATGGCGGCTGGTTCTCCCTCGTGTTCCACGCCCCCCGAAGGCACGCGCTGCTCAGCTCCACCCGATGGCCGCCGGGGCGCTAGCGGGCGCCGACCTGCGGCGGAGGCCGTAGGCGCGCACAGCGCAGCGCCCCCAGGCCACTCGGGGATAGGAGCCAGAGGTTACCGACCTTCGGGGGTGGCATGCGGCTCAGGGGCCGCGATTTCTCCTCCACACGTTAAGCTGCACGCAGTTTCAGAAACAACAAGTGTCAGGACGCGACAGGGGGACGGTCGAGCCCCCTGGCCGTAATCTTACTGTCGACGAACGAGTTTCTGGTATGGCTCGAGGATCGACTGAAAGCCGCGTCGCATCGGACATTGAGGCGGCCGACGTGTCTGGTGAAATTTTGCAAGAGCAGCGCTGGGAGCACAGGCGCGTTGCCTCTCGCGCCGTCTCGGACAGATGGAGTGCGAGGGACGGCCCAAGCATACCTCAAGTTGAATGGCGACATCACTACCGTCAACGTGGAGGGCCCTGGTCCGATCAAGATCTTTATGGAGACTTGTAGGTCCAAGATTTGCGTGGTGCAGGAGCATCGCACATTATCGCAGCACTTGCCCGCTCTGCAGTCGCATGTTCGAGACCTCGGGTATCACGGTTTCTTCGGAGGTGCTGCGCAGACGGAGGCTGACGGCAAGTCGGGTGGGGTTGCGATCTTGGCCCCCACCCATATCGTGGTCAAGGCTCCGCCTACGTTTCTTGAGCATGTTCTTGAGCCAGGTCGCATTGCTGCTGCTGACGTCTCCTGGATAGTGCCAGGTGGCGTCGCGATCGTGGCTGTTTACCTCATAGCAGGAGAAATTATGAGTGCGGCCCACGAGGCACTCCTAGTCAAGACGGCTCGGTATCTTTTGGTGTTGAATTGACTGGGTTGCGATGGGCGATTGGAATTTCACTCCAGATATGCTCTCTTCTGGTTGGTTGGAGGGAGTCCGGGGCTTTGTAGCGGCGTCCTCGAGACCCACTTGCTTGCTTTTACAGCCTGGTAGCGCGTATGACTACGCCATCGTCTGCGCCAGCTTGGGCACTCGTATTTGCAGGCTCCACGTGGTTGACGACAGCAACGCGAAGGTGCATCTGCCTGTGGTGCTTCCCATACTTGCTGAGGATCGGCCTGCTTGGGTGCGTCGCGTCGTTGAGCCTGTTCCCTTCCCCAAGGTGCCGCCGGTTAGGTTTCCTTACGACTGGGGGGACGTGGAGAGACGTGCGTTTTACGCCCAAACCATTGATGGCCTGAGCCTTGCTTGGGATGCGTTATTGGCTGGTATTGGATTTGAGTTGCAGGGCGTCTATGACTGTGTTGATGGGTCAAAGGCTGCGTCGACTTCAGGGCGCGGTGGCCCCCTGGTTACCCAGGTGGTGCAGTCCAGATGGCGACCTCCATTGGCACGGTTGCAACATGGACCTGAGCTACGGGCCTGGATGGCGGCTCTTCGCTGGATTGTTCAGTGTCGGAGGGTCAAGGAGTATGTCGCGAAGCTGGCTGACAAGCTCCTGGTCTGGTAGGGCGGGAACAGAGTTGTGAACGCTCGTGCTGATCATTCTGCGCTGGCTAAAGCGCTGGTGGAATTCATGAGGTTTATGCATGGCGTACGTGGGTGCGAAAGCACGCTCAAGTTGCTGTCTGCATTGGTTTCGGAATTCTTCACGTATACCTCTGTGTTTACCATTCTTGCATGTGATGAGTTTGACCAGGTCTATGCCCACATTGAGAAGGAGCATGATAGATTGCTTGCCGCACATGAGAAGGTCGATCGCGCTTGTTGGAAAAGGTTCGGAGGCTTTGCCTTTGAGAAGGGCGCCAGTGGAGCGCGTCGCTTCACTCGCTTGCAGGCGACCCAGGAGATCATCGAAGCTGGGTCTGAGCAGTCCCCTCATGAGTTGGCAGATCGTGAGATGAGCAAGTGCATGAAGGCGTGGTCAGTTCATGACGAAAGTTACATATCTTTGCCGTCTGATAGTGGTGAATGGGATTTGTTGCCGCACATCACCACGGACATGATGGTAGAGGCCAGTTTGACGTCTACGTGGAAGACGGCAGCAGGACCTTCGACGATCCAGCCGAGATCGCTGTGCTTCTTGTCACGGCAAGGTTTGGAAGCGATGGCGTCGTTCTTCATGAGGTGCGAGTGCCTGCTTTTATGGCCAGTTGGACGTATCCACTCTGGGATGGCTCGTATTCCAAAGGATGGTGGCGGTGCACGTCTGGTGGCGCTGATTCATACTATTGTGCGAGTGTGGGCCAGAGTTCGGCGCCCCCTGTCACGCCAGTGGCTGAAGCGGTTCCCCTCGGGGATGATTTGGGGCAGCAGAAAAGGCGATTCTTCCTCGGGGTCTGCGTTTCTCCACAATGCCATGGCGGAAATGTCTAAGCTCCTTGGGGAGCACTCGCTCACGTTCATGATGGACATGTGGAAGTGTTTCGACACGGTGAAGGTATCCAGTCTCTTTCGTGAAGCGCGTGAAGTTGGCTTCCCTTTGCGTTTGCTGTGGCAGCTGGTCACCTCATATAAGATGCCGAGGGCTGTGAAGGCTTTTGGCTCGATCCCTTTCATGCGCGAGGTGGATCAAGGTATTCTTCCTGGCTGTACACATGCTACCACGTTGCTCACAGTGCTCATGATTCGCACGTTGATTAGTGTACAGGAGATCTGCCCTACTGTGCACCCTCGTGCGTTGGTCGACGATGGCACCTGGCAGTGGGTTGGCCAGGGCCTGGATGGGATGACCGAGTTGGTCAAGGCGACCACGAT